TAGATAGATAGATAGATAGATAGATAGATAGATAGATAGATAGATAGATAGAACCCACAGCCATCGAGTCAATCCTGATTCACAGGGACCCTGTTCTGTAGAATAGACCCACTCCTTGGGTTTTCAAGATTGGAACTGTTTAGAGGAGCAGAGAGCCTCATCTTTTCCCAAGATGTGGGAACCTTGCAGTTAGCAGCCTAACTCATAACCTGCTACACCATTAGGGCTCCTTCATATATCAAGGGTCAATTCAGGAATAGAGTGAGTTGATTTTTTTTTTAATATTGGGGTTTAGTATGTTAGGGTTTTTAATTTTTATACTTATGGTAAACAATAAGACTTCATAGTTCAAACTTTGATCTTTTAAATAGTTTAATTTGTCAAACTATTACTAGTATTAGAAATTAGAACAAAGAATTGTGAAGGGGTAAATAATATTCAAGAATAACCAAAAAACGAAAAATTCTTGTTGTCGACTTCCTACACAATGTTAACAAAATGTTAGATAAAGACATTGAGTCATTGGCTTATGTTTTCTTCCTTGGATTTAAATGACTTAACAATTTTAAGTTATATACTCATAAAAAACATGTGATACTGTAGAAATGTACAGTAATATTTGGCACTCTAAATCCTTTTTGCATTTTGGTATTGACCTCAAAGATCTGTTTGCTATTTATCCAATAAACAGATGATCAGATAAAGCTTTATAATCCACATAATTTATAAATATCCTGGGTTAGTTGTTGGCAGGTGTGGTGATACAGAAAAAAATTGCCTGTTCTCCTACACCTGCATTTTGAGGAAATATAATAAAACCTATATACAGCCAAAAGGCATGATGCAAGCTTACAGTGAACCTTACCTTTACTTAGTGCAACATGTAGAATATGGAAATGAGCAAAGCATGATTACACAGCACCAAGTCGGAAATAAGTCTGCAGACATACAAATAAGAAAGTCTAGCTTGTAGGATATTAAAACCCACTGCCAGCCAGTCAATTCCTGAATGGGCTTTAATATCCCACCATCTTTACTAAGCCTTTAAGCAGAATTTTCCAAAACCAAAAAACAAACCCGCGGTGGAGTCCGCTCCAACTCATAATAGGCCCAGAGGCCAGAAGGAACGACCCCCCAGCCTTTTCCAGGCTGTGAATCTTGGTGGACCCAGACACTGCAGCTCTCTCTCCCACAGAGCTGGGGGGGGGGGGAACCCCCACCCTTTAGGTTGGCAGCTGGGTGCTTTAACTGCTGCCCTACCAGGCCCACCTTCCTAGCAGGATTTAATGGGGGTAAAAATAAGAATTGAAAGTGAACTTCACACAATTGAAAAGTACGACAAATGACAAAGCTATACTTCTGAAAATACATCCTGTGGGAGGTACCTTCCTGAAGGCATTGCCCTCTACTCAGCCTCCACCCAGTCTCCCTAGAACCAACACTGGCTTGTGTTCCTTCCTTCCTAACTTCCTTCGTTCATGCCTTTCTCCCTCTGCCGCGTGATGGTAGCCTATCGTTATTATTGACAAGGCTCGAGGAAAAGGTGCCCTGGGGGCACCATAGGTGACACGTGGGGCTGCTACCCTAGGGTCAGCAGGTGGAAACCGCCAGGGAGAAATAAAGATGAGGCTTTCTGCTCCCATCGAGAGTGCCAGTCTCAGAAATCCCCATCGGGCTGCCAGGGGCCAGCATCAGCTTGAGGGCAGTGAGTTTGGTGTGGTTTGGGGGCTTTGATTGGTGTGGTTTGGGTTGGTAATTGCCGGGGAGCATTTGGCGTGGATGACATCATTTCATTGTCCTCCTGACCCTCAGGCTTTGCTTGGAGCACCCTCCTGGGACCCTGGAAGTGCTTTTGCAGCGTCTCCTAGCCTGCCTTCTTTACCCACAGAGCCCTGTCGGTGCAAAGATTACACGTTCAACAGTCCAACAAGGGTCCACGGTTGGAAGCCACCTGGCTGGCGCTGAAGGGAGAATGCCGCAGCAGTCTGCATTCATAAAGATGACAGTTCTGTTCTGCCCAGCAGGGTCGCTACGAGGCGGCCAATGCCGCCGCAACAGGTTCTGATTTGGCCTGATTTTGACCAGAAACAGACAGCCAAGTCTTAGTCCAGGGGAGCAGCCTGTAGACGGTTTTGAACCGCTAACCTTTCAGATACGAGATGAGACTTTAAGGGTTCCACTCTTGGGTGCTTGGTAGTCTCAGCTTTTGCGGTGTCGTTTATCCAGTGAACAGACAGACACGGAGAGGTGCGGGGGCAAGCCCGCGGGCACACCCCCGGCGCGATGAGTAGGGGCCGCGTGGGTTCGCCGCGGTCCCGGGGCGAGCAGGGCTTCTCGCGGGGCTCACGGCCATGCCTTGCTCTCCTCCAGGTTTCATGACCTACATCGTGGAGCCGCTCTTCGGGGAATGGGCGCGTTTCACCGGCAACAGCCCGCTCTCGGAGAACATGCTGAGCCATCTCACGCACAACAAGGCGCAGTGGACGAGCCTGCTGCGCTCGCAGCCCCGGAGCGGCGGCGACAGTGGCGGCCAGGGCGATGGCGATGGCAGCGGTGGCCCGGAGCCCGCCGGCCCGAGTCCGGAGGAGGAGGAGGAGGAGGAGGAGGAGGAGGAGGAGGCGCAGCCGGGCCCCGCCGACGCGCCCTAGGCCCTGCGCCCTGCGCCCTGCGCCCTGCGCCCTGCGCCCTGCGCCCTGCGCCGCGGACCCCAGCCGCCCACTTCCCAGCGAGCGAGCGGAGAGGGTGGAGCCGCCCCGGCAATGGACCCTCTGGACTCTCTGGGGGCAGATCTTGACCACCCTCCTCCTCCTCGTCCCGGATCTCCCCTCCTCTTTCCGAGTGTACAGAAGCCATTTGTCACCTCAGCTGAGTGTAGGGCCACGCCGCCACCCCCCGCGGAGAAGACTGGGCGTCAGAAGAGGTGCTTCTGCGTGTCCCCCAGGCCTTGGGTCACAGTGTGAGAGGCAGCGCTTCCGGCAGCGTCCAGAGCCGGTCCCGGCGCCCTCAGAGTGCTGAGCCCCAAGACCAAACCACCAGCATATTTGGAACCCCGCCTCGGTCTGTCGTGCAGGACGCAAAGGAGTGCGCGAGCGAGAAAGTACCTTCTATTTTAATAATAATGATTGTAAAGATAATAATAAATCTTTTTAACTTTTGTATTTTATGCACTACACAGTGGGTCTCAAACTCTGGACTAAGGTTCCTCCGTGTCCCCGAAGGGAACCAGGCAAGGAGTTCATTGTTTTGTTCCGGACTTGACGCTGGGGTCTTCTCCCGGGCAGAATCCGTGTTTCCTGTCCCGGTGAGGGAAGGTGCTCTTGAGCCCATCCCGTTGCCCCCGTGGCCCAGCCCTGTTCTGTTGCTGACCCCGTGGCAGTGGCATGTTGACACCCACACGTGTACATGTTCTGTAAATACCAAGCGCTACTGAGTCCCATGCCAAAATACATGAGTATTATGGGATTGCTACCTGTATAAACAATGGCACTGTGAACAAAAATACTGTTAGTTTTAATACAAGAGAATGCATTTGTAAATACGGTGTATAGAGTTTATTAATATAGTATGGTTTGCAGATAAAGGCCTTAACTTTCACCGTCTTTCATCTCCTAGAAGCTGCCCAACTTAATTCCTCACCGATGGCTTTCTGAACTGCCTGCCGGGTCAACCTGGATGCGCTCCAGCTAAGGTCACAGACCAACACGAAATAAAGTCCCTAAGGAAATAGTTTGGCAACCTCCCATGCATTCCGCTTGAGACCATAGTGTTTCATCTATGGCACCAAGCATCGTTCCTCAAGAGACCCGTCTGCAAGCCCGGAGTCGCTTGTCAACGCCGGGATGTTGCACGCTCTGTCTTAACCAGACAGCTGGTAAACGCTGGTGTTTATGGGCCTGGAAATGGGGCATGGCAGTGTGTCTGTCTCACAGAACATGGCCGGTCTCACAGGCCTTCTATGACCCTGTCACACCACCGTCAGGGAGCTCCCTGCCCCCATGCCACACGTGTCTGTTACAGCTACACTTTGACCAAAGTACCTTTGGTTTATGATTGACATTCATTCTTTGGTGTGAACAGTAACTGGATTTTTCTTTTCTTTTTCCTTGAGTTCCTGTGAACAGTTGCTTGGCTGAAGTTAACATTATTTAAGTAAAGAAAATATTTTCGGTTTTCTGAAAGACTTTACCTTGCTGACAGACCGTTGTGGTTAATTATGGTTCTAGCTAGCATAATCACCATGGAATTTTCTTGCCTTTTTTTTAACCTGCTGATGCTTGGCCATAAAATGAACTTAAAACAGCTTTCTTCTCTAGTCTCCTAACCTCTGTGAATTCAATCCTTTCGGGAGACGTTCTCAACAGTAGATGAAAATTAGCGATGCCTCTTTTCCTCTGCCCTGGTATCATGTGGTAGTGGGAGGATAAGTTCTGCCACTAGCAAGCTATTGCTTAAGCATGTCAGAATGACCACTCGCTCTCCTTCCCTGAGTGCAACTGTTTGGCTTTCGTTCCCGTTTCCTCCTCACCTGCCGGTGAAGTGCTAGCCCTTGACTGGATTACGATAAATTCCTGGAGAGAGGCGGGGGTCGCAGCGTGCAGGCTTGTGGGGAAATTGGCAGAGTTGGTTATTCTTTCCATTACAGTAGGAGGGAATGTCAGAGGGGCTAAGACGTTGTGGAAACCTTATGAAATGGTGGGTCAATAAGTTAAGACGAAGAAGAGACGTAGAGGAAATGGAACATGAGCTTTTTTGGAGGGTTTCGTTTTTCTGCCCCGGCTATCAGTGGACATGTGTTTGGATAATCACTTTAATACTCTGGAGCTCTGAGCCGGGGGAAGGCCCCAGAGGGAACCTGTAGGATGGATTCCTGCTTCGAAGTCTCTCTCTGTGGTTGGAGGACGCACAGAGGGCTTCTGAGTAGTCTGTTTT